GGACATGGTCGTGGAGGACGTAATGATGGTCGAAGTTACCAATATAATAACTTCGATAGAGGATAGTCAAGCTAACAAAACTAGTGTGGCAGAGGACGTGGCCAGAGAGGTGGTAGATCGAATTACAACAATATCGAATGTTACAAATGTAACAAACAGGGGAACTATGCGTAAGATTGCAACTCCTACAGTTGCTACAACTGTGGTAAAATGGGACATCTTGCAAAAGATTGTTGTCTCAGAAGAAAGGTAGAAGAAACAACAAACCTTGCTCTAGAAACAGAATCAAATGAAGGATTTCTGTTAATGACTCAAAAGGAAGCAGATGCAGAAAATGATACTATGTGGTACCTAGACTCAGGAGCAAGCAACCATATGTGTGGTCATAAGCACTTGTTCAAAGAAATAAAGAAGATTGATGATGGTCATATTTCCTTTGGAGATGCGTCGAAAGTAAGGGTCGAAGGAAAAGGAACAATCAGTTTCTTGCAGAAGGATGATTTGATAGGATCTATCCAAGATGCACACTATGTACCAAACCTCAAAGAAAATATTTTGAGTTTGGGATAACTCACAGAAAAGGGCTATTTGATTCTCATGGAAGATCGAAGCTTGCACTTAAAAGACATGTCAGGACGTCTGGTTGATCAAGTCAAAATGGGGAGAGATAGAATGTACAAGTTGAATTTGAGAAGCATTCGAGAAAAGTATTTGCAAGCCAATGTCGAAGACCAAGCATCCCTGTGGCATCTTCGTTTTGGTCATTTACATCAAGCTGGACTAAGGAGGTTAGCAAAGAAAAATATGGTGCATGGACTTCCAGACGTGGAATTCGAAGGAAAATTCTATGAAGATTGTGTGTTTGGAAAACATACGAGAACCTCTTTCCAATTGAAGGCAGAATATCAGGCCAAATAAATTCTGGAATTGATTCACACTGACATATGTGGACCAATTACCCCAGAATTCTTCAGTGGCAAAAAGTATTTTATTTCTTTCATTGATGATTTCTCAAGGAAAACTTGGATGTATTTTATGAAAGAAAAGTCAGAAGCCTTCGAAGTATTCAAAAGTTTAAGATAATGGTTGAAAAAGCAACATACAAGCACATCAAAGCCCTTCGATCAGACAAAGGTGAGGAGTAAACTTCGACAGTCTTTATGAAGTACTGTGAAGAACAAGGCATAAGAAGATTTCTGACTGTAGCATACTCACCTCAATAAAATGGTGTAGCGGAAAGGAAGAATCAAACAATCCTTGACATGGTTCGATCAATGCTGAAGAGCAAAAATATGTCGAAGGATTTTTTGGCAGAAGTTGTACAGTGTGCAATCTACGTTCAAAATAGATGTCCATATTCGAAGCTGGGAGATTTAACACCTCAAGAAGCTTGGAGTGGAAAAAAGCCAAATGTGTCTCATTTCAAAGTGTTTGGAAGTGTGGATTATGCACATGTACCTGATCAAAGAAGAACAAAGCTAGAAGATAAGAGTCAAAAATACATACTCATTGGGTATGATGAGAAAACGAAAGGTTACAGACTTTTCGAACTAATAAACAAGAAGGTGATAGTAAGTAGAGATGTTCGAATAAATGAAGAAAGCAAGTGGGACTGTAATAACTCCACTAAAGTTGTGGTCGAAGTACCAAATGCTATATCGAAAGAAACTTTAACAGAACTAGAAAACTCTGATGATGAAGAAGGACCCTCACAGCCCAGGTTGTGAAGCTTACAAGACTCGTATGAAAACACAGAAGAAGTGCATCTTGTATGTTTGTTGACAGACACTGAAGATGTTAGTTTTGAAGAAGCAATAAGAAACAAAAATTGGAATGATGCTATGAATGAAGAAATCAAGGCCATCGAACACAATGAAACTTGGGAACTAGTAGAGTTACCAAATGAAAGTCAAACAATTGGTGTAAGGTGGGTATTTAAGAAAAATATGAATGCACAAGGTGAAATCGAATGATACAAGGCGCGACTTGTGGCGAAAGGATACATGAAGAAAGAAGGAATCGATTATGATGAAGTCTTTGCACCTGTTGCGAGAATGGAGACAATTCTACTGCTCATATCTCAAGCTGCTCAATACAAATGGAAAATACATCAGATGGATGTCAATTCAGCCTTTCTGAATGGCGTGCTCGAAGAAGAAGTTTACATCGAACAACCCCCTGGATTCATGAAAATCGAAAATGAAGAAAAGGTGCTAAAGCTGAAGAAGGCACTTTAGGGGATGAAGCAGGCACCACGAGCATGGAATACTCTAATTGACATATACTTCAAGGAAAATGGATTTCAGCAATGTCCATTCGAACATGCCTTGTATGTGAAGAAGAAAAAAGAGAAAATATTACTTGTTGCTCTCTATATTGATGACTTAATTTTCTTGGGCAACAACAATCAGATGATCGAAGAGTTCAAAGGCACAATGAAACAAGAATTTGAGATTAATGACTTAGGCCTGATGAAATACTTTCTTGGTCTGGAGGTACAACAAGAAGAAACAAGAATCTTCATCTCACAAGAAAAATATACAAGAGATATCCTGAAGAGATTTAAGATGGATAGCTGCAATCCCATTTTGACACCAATTGAGCCAGGAGCAAAGCTTTCGAAATTTGATGGAGGAGAGCGTGTTGAAGCAAACAAATTTCGAAGTTTGGTGGGAAGTCTTCCATACCTCACATGCACAAGGCCAGATCTTTCGCTGAGTATTGGAATTATGAGTCATTTCATGGAAGAACCAGTTGTTGCACACTGGAAAGCTCTGAAGAGAATCCTTCAATATGTCCAAGGAACTGTGTCACTTGGAATATTCTATTCGAAAGCAGAAGAATACAAGTTAACTGGCTACTCTGATAGTGGTTGGTGTGGTGATATTGATGATCGAAAGAGCACTTCAGGTTATGTATTCTTCATGAGAAACACTGTTTTCACCTGGCTGTCAAGGAAGCAACCCATTGTAACTCTTTCGACATGTGAAGCAGAGTATGTAGCAGCATCCTGGTGTGTATGCCATGCAATATGGCTGAGAAGATTACTGAGCAAGATGAAATCGAAACAAGAAGATGCAACAATAATTTAAGTTGATAACAAATCTGCAATCGAACTGGAGAAGAATCCAGTCAACCATGAACGAAGCAAACACATTGATGTTCAATTTCATTTTATTCGAGAACATGTGAAGGATGGAAGCATCGAACTGAAGCACGTTGCAAGCAAAGATCAAGCAGCAGACATTCTCACAAAACTATTGTCGAGGAAGCTTTTCGACAGAGGCAAGAAAATGCTAGACATGATGGATCGAAGGAATATTTGAATTTATGGGGGAGTTTTGTTGGTTAAATTCAAATCAGTCTTGGGTAAATCAATAGTCAGTTTCCCTTGGACAGTAGAAAATTTATTCCTTAGGGACCTAGACATAGTTATTGTTGTAACTCTTAATATTCTATCATGTGACTCTATATATAAATCACATTGTATCTCATTGTAAAAATTAATTGCACAAATTTATAAAGAAAGAAGTTCATAATCCACTTCCATTTCTTCTTAAATTTCTCCTTAAATAATTTCTCCTTAAATTTCTTCACTTTCTAAATCACATGCACATACACCAAGCACAACTATGACCTGATGATAGGAATTTTTAATGGTATTGGTCATATATTGCACGGGTTATGCTGAATATTTTATCCACTATAAAAAATTAGCCAATAATTAATTGTTAGGGATCAAAGATGCATTATTTTCTTCAAGAGATTATGTTTAGGAAAAAATAATATCTCTTAGTTGTGCAACCATTTCTGTTCTGCCATCCCTCCTGCCCTTCATCCAATGGTTCAGAATTATTAAAAAATAAATAAATGAAAATTTGTTGTTTTGAAAAGAGATAAAAAAAGTAGATGAATGGTTGAGATGAGAGTTGGATGGGCAACATCAGTAAAAGAGTTGGAGAGAATCCACATCCTGAACTGCCAGCCTAAGAAATGTATAAAAAAATATAATAATGAAGATAAAATACATAAAATAGCTAGATTGATTGATTCAGTTTGTCACAAAATCATGTTATTTTTAGAGGAAATTACCATACTGGACTACTTGTCATCAAATCGTGGCCTATAAAAAAATATTGTTTCATTAGACTATTTATCTGAGTAATGAGTGAGTATTTTCTATTTCTGAATATCTGTCTCATCATGTTTCTTATTTTTTAGCGTGTAACATTGGTTTTATCTTTGTGTGAGTAATTTGTGGTTCCACAATCTTTGTCTTCTTTGATCAGTGATAATATTAACACAAAACATAACCATAAAGTCCAATTATCAAGTTCTAATGTGTTTTAATTTAATTTGAGAAATATTTAATTGACTAATGTTCGAATGTGTTTTCCCTAATCTGACATTGACTCTTCTGAACAACATTCAATTAACCCTTAAATTGCTGGTCTACTTATTTTGACCTTATACTTCAATTTTTTTTTAGTATAATAAATTATAAATAAATTAATACTCCCTCCGTTTCAAAATAAAATTCATTTTTACAATAAAATTTATTTTAAATAAATAACATTCTTACTTTTCAATAAAAAAATTATCCATATTTTTCAATGGTGCTTTTCTATTTACTATATATACTAGTTCCAACATGCTAATAAAATTAATTTACCAAAAATGTTAATATTCTTGTTAACATGAATGCATATGTAAAATCTTAAACAACACTATTTTTGTCTTATATAATTTATAAACCAAGTATGCTTAACGTATTAGAATTTTTACATTCTTATTTATAAAATATGAGTTTTGCTAACTTGTGCTAAGGGTATTGAGAAAACAATATTTTAATTATAAAAAAAAAAAAAGAATTACACAGCTTTTAAAAAACATATTCAAATATTAAGAACATGTTAATAATTCTACTTTTAAATAAACATAAACATGAACAACAACAATAAACATAAACATTGTACTCAACAACAGCAATAATTAACAGCTCAATAATGAAAAACATAAACATTGTACTCAACAACAGCATCTCCAGATTTGAGATCAATCCAATGAGTATGAGCTTGAGCATATCCTCTAGCAAATCTGAAGAGTCCACTTCCACCAACAACAGGCATCTCTCTAACGTTATTCATAGCAGGATTCTTCCCCAAAATAGTAATAGTACTTCCATTATATTTTCCTTCAATGAAAGCTAAATTCATAGCCATAAGAAAACCAAGTTCAACCTGTGAAGCAGAAGCATAGAAGCCTTGAGCTTTTCCAACAAGTTTGGAACTGAGTTCTGGTCCTAATGTTAAAGGGTTGTCAATCATGTTGACTAAACCAAAAGCAGTGCTTGAGTTTAATGTTGGTGGGACAACCATGACTGAAGATGGGTTTTTTCCACTCAATATGTCATGCCAATAGAATTTGAAATGACTTAGCTTTTCTTTTTTGTTTATGCCTAATAATTTGCGATCTATAGGACGAGCAAAATCGAAAGTGTCATCGTTTTGTGAGGATGGTGTTGAGGAAGTGAGGGTGGTGATGGAGAGGAGAAGGAAGAAGAAGAAAGTGAGGAAGTGTTGGGAATGCATTGTGGTTGGGTTTGTGAGATTTTTTGTAATGTTGAATGTGGAGAAGGTAAAGTATGGAGGAGAGAATACAATAATAATGGAAGGTGAATGAAGTGAATGATCGTGACGAATTTGTCTTGTTTATAAAGACAACAAATGTGGAAAAGGAAAAGTTAACGGAAAAAAAAAATACTAGTGGAGTAGAATGTTGGAAAAGTATTATTTTTATTTTTTTATGTCATTCTTAAAATATCTAAATAACATCATTAAAATGAACACAATGGTGTCTCAATGTTTTTGTTGTTAAAATTAATTTTATTTATCACATACACAAAATATTGTCGGTCTTGGTTATGGAAGTTTGACGAAGGAGATAAATATTTAACGGGTGTTTAAGTAATTGGATCTGTTGATCTTCTCTTTTATTTTTGGTGGTGGTGGGTCTTATAGCTGTTTTGTGGAGAGTGATTTTAATTTGGATTTTTATTGTGTTTAAAGTGGGATATGAGAGTTTAGTTTTTTCTCATCTTAAGTATACTAATGATATTGTTATATGGGTGATGCTTCGATTGAGAATTTAACTAATGATATTGTTATATGGGTGATGCTTCGATTGAGAATTTATGGGTTAGAACGTCTATCATTAGAAGCTTTGAGTTGCTTTAGGGCTTTTGGTGAATTTCTCGAAGAGTTACTTGTTTGGTTTAAAAGTTAGTGTAATGTTTTTTAAGTTGATTGAGAGCTTTCTAAATTATTGATAAGTATAAATTGTAGGTTTTTTTGTGGTATTTATCGATTTTTTGTTATTAATATCGTTGAATAAATATGACTTTTGTGTAAATACGTTTAGTTTGTGTTTATTTATGTTTTTATGTACATAGGGTATCGTTTGATGTTTTTCCATTCATTTTGTAGATATTGATGCGTATTTGGAGCATGACCAATAAAGTGTCAAAGATACGACTTCAAACGCGCGATTTTGAGCAACTCATCAACGAATAAGGTTCAAAATCAAAGAATAAGAAATCATCAATTTGGTTTATATTTAGGCATTGTTAGATAAATAATTAAATAAGCTTTCCAATGCTTCGAACCGGACGTAAATCGAAGTTACGATTCTCATGTTATGTCGAAAACAAAAAGCTGATTTTTTTCTCATGACAATAGAGTGCACTTAGAGGGATAGTGCCACTTAGCGCGGTCCCCTTGACAGAAATACGTTAAAAGGGCCAAAATACACATTTTTTAGGTTATGTTTTGGGGTATTTGTTTCCAACTCATCAAACCTTCATTTTTTGGTAGAGAGGGCTTAGAAAACAACTTCAGAGCTTGCATATGGATGATCTGGGGTGGATTGATCATCAATCGACGCTGACAAATCGGAAGATTTTTGGTTCATTTCTCTTCCTCTTTGTGTACTTCTTTGGTTGGGTTTTGTATATGATTTTACTTTGAACTCATGTATATTTGTCGCCCATGGCATTACATATAATTTGCTTTACAAATCTGTGTCGATTGTTATCTTAGATTTACTTTGTGCTCGAGGTTTGGGTTGTTATAGATATATACTGCTCAAATTCTTATCTAGGATGATTATCTGTTAATTTCTGGATTCTAGAGATAGATTTAGAGCTAACAATCTTTATAGGGGTCAAAGCTTAATGTTTTTGTGTTGGTTGTGTCGGTTGAGAGATTGTCGATACGAGTAATATAGATGTCTTTTGTGTTGTTGAGGTTAACTGAGAGATCGTTGCCGAGATGATATAGTAGTTCTCTCTGCTTTAGCTTAGAAACAACTTAGGGAGTGAGCGATGCTAGATGACTTTGAGGAGTATTGTAGGTTGAGTGTAACTGGTCGATAAGTTTAAGTTTGTGAGAAGTAGATTATATGCATGTTTGATAAGTTTCTTCTTTCTAGAGAATAAATTCTTTCCTGTTGTTGGCTCCCAAATTCGACACCCTTGTTTCATTAATGTCAGCCATTAAAGCTGAAGGATGTTTTCGACTAGTTAGGTCCGTCGAAATGCCCATCGAAAGATGGCAAGGTACTTAGAAGATTTCTTCCAAGGGAGAAGTTGGTTGCCTTCGACGTCGAAAGTGTTTCTCGTCGAAGATGCTTCTCGACGAAGGTGTTCGATGGTTCAGAGTGGAACGGTTTGAAATTCAAACGTTTGGAGGGAAAACGGTTTCCAGCGGTTACCAGGTGCAACGTGCAAAGATCTGGAGCGTCGAACGTTGAGAACGTGCCAAGTGGAATCATCTCGAAGCAATGTAACTGCCCGACGGTTACTTGGGATGTTTTAGTATAAATAGTAGTAGTCACGCAGTTTCTCGCGTGTGTTCACAATTATATACAAAGTCACTCATATAGATTCGAGTACCCAGCGTGTGAGAAAGAATTGTTGAGAAATGTATGTGTGAAACACCAACTTTATTAATCAAAGTCATTTACTTTTTCCAGAAATTTACTTGCTTTCTTCTTTACTTTCCTGTCGAAATCCTTTACTTTAAGCCTTCATTTATTTTACCAAGCCTACTTCTTCATGCAATTTACTTAAAGCCTCTTTATTTTATTGTCATTTAACCAATATCCAATTTAACCAAAAACTTCAAAATCAACCTATGTCCTAGGATCAATCTGATCGATCCTGCGAGTAACCAAATAAGTAACCATTTGGAGGATCAGCGGTTGTTTACCAATAACCAAGGTAAACAAATTGGCACACCTGGTGGGACTGTGTGTTGATTGTTGAAAATAATCTCATCTTTTCGAGGAGTGTTGCATGTTATTGAGAAGTGGTAGAATATACACTAACGATAACAATACTACCAGAAGAAGGGAAGAGATGGTGAATCCGCCAAACAATAACGAAATCCCACAAACGAATGTGGGAGCAACGGTTAGCACGACCGTAAGTGAAGCGACAACTGCTGGTTCGACACCAGCAGTAACGGTCACAGCAACGGGGCCATTACCCCCGTTCACAGGCCCCAGAGTGCCTTTGGGAACTCCCCCACCAAGGGGAAATTTAGGCACAAGGCCTTTTGTTCCCCCAGGATTTATGCCACTCTATGGCATGCCAACTTCTGACTTGGCTAGCCTGACAAATGCTGCGTCCACTTTTTCAGACCCTTTAGTGAGTGCCTCTTCGCCACTCCAAGGCTCTGGAGTAGGTATGGCGAATAGAAATAGGACCCAACTCTTAGGAGGAACGTCCCAAGTAGCCCATGGCCTTACAAATGCCTCGACAACAGTTTTGAGGCAACAAATGGACGAAAGCAACCATGATATGGTGCAAATGTTGGCACAAACTTTGAGTACAGTGCTAAACCCTCTAATACAAAACACTACTCAATCGAATCAGCAAATGACAGCGCAAATGACGCGTTTGGCTGATTTCTTTGGAGTACCCCAACCTATTCGACAGCCCCAAAGGGCGCAAATAAGGGGAAACCAGGGGATATTCCTAGAGGAAGAAACCACCATCAACCAGGTTCAACAGCCTATCGAAGAAAACCTTAGGGCACGTTTGGAGCAACCTGTCGAGGAACCTAGGGTAATAACCCCAGAGGTAAGGTTAGTTAACCGAAACCAAAATGCTGACGAAGTAGTTCAGCATATCCAATACCAAAATACGGGTTTGGAAAACAATCTGGCAACCATGATCGAAAGGATCATGACTCAAAATGGGATGAACATGGGCTTTCGAAGGCCCAACTTTACATCCCCATTGTCAGAATACGTGTTACAAACAGACTTACCTCCGAGATGCAAAGTCCCCAAATTCACTAAGTTCTCTGGGGACACGACAGAATCTACTGTCGAGCATGTGGCGAGATACTTGATCGAAGCAGGAGATATTTCGAATAACGAAAATCTAAGGATCAAGTACTTCCCAAGTTCTTTAACAAAGAACGCTTTTACTTGGTTTACAACTCTCCCCCCCAATTCGATCCATCATTGGACCCAATTGGAAAGATTGTTCCATGAACAATTCTACATGGGGCAAACCAAGATAAGCCTGAAAGAATTGGCCAGTGTAAAGAGACGTTTCACTGAACCTATAGACGAATATCTAAATAGGTTTAGGTTGCTTAAGGCGAGATGTTTTACACAAGTGCCAGAACATGAGTTGGTCGAAATAGCCGCAGGCGGTTTAGATTATTCCATTAGGAAGAAGCTAGACACCCAATACCTGAGAGACATGGCCCAACTGGCCGATAGAGTTCGACAGGTAGAACGCCTCAAAGCTGAAAAATCAAAGGCAACGAAAACTCACAAGAGAGAGAGGATATCGTATGTTGATATGGATGACGAAGATCCAGAATCCTTCGACGATACTATAACGGTCGAAGAAGGAGAAGTCGATTTAGCGGAACTAAAACAAGGACCACCATACTCTTGTAAACTGTTAGTCCCCTCAAGTGGGAAAAATCCCATTAGTTCAGAAAGGACCAACGATAGGTTCCCCAAAAAGACTTATAGTTTTGACATCACAAAATGTGATGAAATATTTGACTTGCTTGTAAAAGATGGCCAAATGATAGTACCCCCAGGGGTAAAAGTGCCTCCTCTTGATCAAAGAAAGAAGAGAGGTTTTTGCAAATATCATAATTTTTTGGGCCATAAAACTTCTCAATGTTTTCTTTTCAGGAATCTTGTGCAAGACGCTATCGAAGAAGGGAGGTTGAAGTTTGCTGACAAAACCCCCATGGCTGTCGACTCAAATCCGTTGCAAGCTGAAGCCCACTATGCTGAGCCTTCTGAGGTGAACGTGATAGAGGCAACCAGGAGCCAGTTGAAGAGGCCAGGAATCACAATGGTCGAAGTCTCAAAGGACCATATCAACATGCCAATCTTTGGCAGTTTTCTGGGAATTTATCCAGAAAGACAATTGAAGCAGTTCAGAAAGCGGTCGAAAGCCCAAAGCTGGAGACCGCTGAAGCACAAAAAACTGGACCAAAACCCAGTTCTCACTTGGCCACCGTTCAAGGCCAGACAGATAATTTGGAGATTCAAA